GATTTTATTTAAAATAACAGACTACGGACAGAAAACAAATATGATAAACTGTCATAAGCGATTGGAGAGTATAAGTTAATCATCCTGTTGTCAATTAAGACCTGACTGTTGGGACAGCTCGTTGAGCACAGTAACAATTATACGAAGAATAGACAACTTGAATCTCAACGCAAATAACGGAAATGAAAATACTGCATAAAAACTCAGGATCAGTACTCAAACTACTTAACACATTTCAAAACTTGTTGAATGCACTTACTAGAAACTCAAGAATGCGTAACAAAATGGGGATTAAATAATTCATTTCAGTTTACATGAACAACGATCTTAGTTTTGGAAGTAATAGAAAAAAGCAAGTTAGGAATGGGATTTGTTCACAGTACTTGAAACGCAACAGAACTATCAACATTAAAGTTGCACAGCGAGAAGTTGCGTTCATTCATATATTCAGTTTAAGTTATTCGGAAACTATCAATCTAGTCTCATTATTTCTAAGATGGATCTTATATAGGGGGAAGGTGATCAGTCGAACTTAAAAACTAATGTGTACTGCATTTGAGCAATACAAAGTGCAAATCTCTATACACAACACGAATAAAAATGTATAACGAACCTCATCTCCTTGAGTCTCAATGCGACGGAGCCTGTTTCCATGCAAATTAACTTCATCCTTCAACTCTTTAATGGTCCTTAAAGTGAGTTATAATTCGAAAATGTATTACTTGGAGAGAGACTCTTCTTTTTTGTCATATTTTTCCGAAATCTCTAACTTTTCTTGAAGTTGCTTAACGGTCTAAGGAATTCAGTATAACTGACTATAATAACCTCATCATAAAGTTGAGCAGAAGATTTTGCAAGATTTTGTGCTTCCCTAACTTCATCTTCAAGCAACTGAATTGATTCTTCTTGACTTTCTAATCGTTTTTCTAAAGATTCATGCGCTCTGGAAAAAAATAATTTAAATGATTGCTTTACTTTTGGCACTCAGCAGCTGATTTTTGAAGCTCACACAGACGCTCAGTATTGACTCTAATAGCTTCTCGATGCTGCTCACTTTTCTGTTCTAAACTATCGATAAACCTATGTTTGTCTTTAATTTCTGAATCGAGCTAAACTAGTAAATATTAATCCAAACCTAATACCTTTTTAACAATATTTTTCTGAGACTCGTTTTCCTTACGCTTAGCCTCCAATTCATGTGATAATTTTGCAATGTTATCATGCAGGTCTGATAGCTTCGCACTTATTATACCGACCGAGACCATGTTTCGATGGGTATCAATTAGGCGCTTTTATAATTAGCAACCCTTCGATAGCCAATATCTTCATAATGAGCTTCAAGAATCTACACCAATATCCAATATCTTTGCACAAGCCAATATAAACCTACTGATTTATTTGCGCTCGATTCTTATTCTTTCGTTACGGTTCCACGATTTTAGTATTGTTCAATGGATGGGGGTTAGCCACTCTACTCTCTAATTCTAGTCAGTTGGCAGTTCTTTGTGAGTTTGTGACTATTTGTGTTCCAGGGGAGTAGTGTTTCTGGATACAAGCAGCTATCGTGTTACCAGGCCGGTGATAAATGGATAATTTAGTTTATCGATTGGTACTGAAGATTGTACGAGGGGACCGAAGTGCAGGCGAGGGAGAGGAAACACTATTTTTCTTCGCTAGTATTACCTGCGAAAATTGCCCTTTCAGCTATCACCAGATTTGAAAAATACCTTGTAGGGATGTTGATGTCGAACACTTAAGTTAAAAAGACGTCAGTTGATGACTAAGTAAACATACCGGATGAATTTATACTTCATGACTGAACTTAATACTAGGCAGGACACTACTAGTCCACAAATGAGCGTGAAGTATACAAAGTTTCCTCCCTGAAAAACCATTTCACTGTTATTTCAAATGGTTCAGATGGTTTTCAACAGAGTGGACAAAGCTTTCTCTATGCCTGAGTTCATGTTTAGTAGAAGCGAATTCCTGATACTTCCAAGTGGTGAAGTGGATGTCTGAAAGGAACGGAGGTAGGGTATTATTAAGTCATTGAGTCCCAATAAATATGTATTAGGTTCTCTCGTGAATTACCACAGTAAATTCGCTTAAACCACCTCACTTGCTAGTTATTTCCGACACTTGACTACCGTTAAGAAGTAGAAGGTGAGGCCACGATTCTCCTGAGAGTGTAGAACATCTAATTTCCAAATATCCATTCTGAGATATTCACCGGAATTATACATCATTGTTCCAGAAGATACCCGAGAATATTTAGATCACTGAGTAATTATCTAAGTCCTTTATATTCTAGAGGGAAAAGTTTCTTCGGCTGAATGAGCTGTTTGAAATTACACATCTCATTCTTCATCATTGTTGCAGACAATCCAGAGCTCCCTTGTAGTGGAATACCTTTACGAAGATAACACAATTGTTGAAATATAAACATTTATAATTGTACTTCATTATGACAACAATTGTTATATTGTACCCCTTTTATTCATCTGCACTAAAGGCTATCTCTCGAACGCCAAGCATGTTATTCCCACTCCGTTGTTCTGGATATTATTTCAATATCACAAGGCTAGCAATAAATATACTTCATCTAGAATAGTGTTTTCTCTGACTTCTGGATTATCGCGATTTACATTAGTAATCCAGCGAAGAAATATATTTATTTCAACTTACTATACCCTAAAGAAGCCTATCAGAAGAAGATCTGTTTCCATATCGTGAGGAACAGGCAGACTTTATTAGTAAGTATTCAAAAAATCGAAGATAATTGCACATTTTGCAGTCTCAAACCTTTAAGACAAGAGATCTTTCGAGAAACTCCACAGATTGTAAGCATTAACGGTGGCTTTAGCCAGCGGATACATTACCCATGTGATGATGAGAGTCCACCAACTCGTAGATACTGACCCAGAAATAAGCTTCCCACCTGAGAAAACCGACGAGCATCTAAAAGATACAATCTTAATTTTGAGGGTGATAAACATTCAGCCAATAGCCACTAAAGTTACATGGTATGTTCAATCAATGCTTGTTCACTCAAATACATTTACTAGATTTTGATTGTTGTGGATGCACAAGTGTCCATCACTGGCATAAACTTGTTACACAACCACAGACTACTCATCAACTCAAACAAATAATAATAATTTATTCTCAAATAACAAACATGTTACAAGAGACATGACAATTTACAGGCAAGATCAAAATGTTAAGATTAGCAACATATTTCTTTTAAAACGGTATACGGTTACTGAAACATTTCACGAGATTCATTGTATTCCTATAGATGGAATGTACAATGTGAATACCTGGCGCGAGTTACGAAGGTTGCGTTACGACTACCATCTTACTGACTGCGAAACGATTCATGCTAGAGACAGACTAATATACGAGGAGTGGGATAAGGTGCTGAAAAAGAGGAATAAAGAAAACGGGACGAGCGGCAGAACAGAAAATATTCTTGTTTAAAGCCGAACAACGGCTTCGCACATACATTTATGGATAAAACAAAGGTATGTTTACTCAGACTTTTTTTTAATATCAGAACACTAACTGTACACCTGCACTTATGTAGGTTAATAAAGACAATTCAGTAATGAGATAACTAATAGGAAGTTAGTCGAATGAATAGAGGAAATTCAGAAGAACCAAGTTGTCAGTAATAACGTTGATTTACAAAATATAATAATGAGGCTCGGTGATCTTATGTTTTTTCTTATTTTATTTATTCTTTTTATTGTTAACTTTGCGGCTCAAGAAGTTATGAATGAGCTCTCTTTCCAAGTGAGGACTTGTCTTGAGCTATGTATGGGTGCTTTCCTCAATATTTGTCCTACCGGCTTCTAGCACTAGCTCCTGACTTCTTCCTCATCTGGAATTTGATTTGTTCTCCCACACAATTCTGGCTATACACAGTAATTGCTCTAGTGTTTTGTACGGTAAATGGTATCGCTTTCAAGTACGGACTGATTACATATTTAACTGCTAACAGGAAATGGAAACTATGAATGAAAGCAATTGAGAAATCCTATTACAATCTGGTCTGGATAACTATACTAAAAAAGAGCTCATTCATAACTTCTTGAGCCGCAAAGTTAACAATAAAAAGAATAAATAAAATAAGAAAAAACATAAGATCACCGAGCCTCATTATTATATTTTGTAAATCAACGTTATTACTGACAACTTGGTTCTTCTGAATTTCCTCTATTCATTCGACTAACTTCCTATTAGTTATCTCATTACTGAATTGTCTTTATTAACCTACATAAGTGCAGGTGTACAGTTAGTGTTCTGATATTAAAAAAAAGTCTGAGTAAACATACCTTTGTTTTATCCATAAATGTATGTGCGAAGCCGTTGTTCGGCTTTAAACAAGAATATTTTCTGTTCTGCCGCTCGTCCCGTTTTCTTTATTCCTCTTTTTCAGCACCTTATCCCACTCCTCGTATATTAGTCTGTCTCTAGCATGAATCGTTTCGCAGTCAGTAAGATGGTAGTCGTAACGCAACCTTCGTAACTCGCGCCAGGTATTCACATTGTACATTCCATCTATAGGAATACAATGAATCTCGTGAAATGTTTCAGTAACCGTATACCGTTTTAAAAGAAATATGTTGCTAATCTTAACATTTTGATCTTGCCTGTAAATTGTCATGTCTCTTGTAACATGTTTGTTATTTGAGAATAAATTATTAATGATTATTATATAGTGTGGCATCATTCATTTTATTAAACATCACCATGTTATACCGCTCTTCTTACAAAAATTTAGATTTCAGACACTTATTTCAGCGCTTGATATGGGTACCCGTTACTCCAGAACCCTCAACTATTATCTCTAAATCCAGACGACCAATTGAGTCTATAAATAAAAGCTTTTCGACAAGTCCGGCTAAGCTTACACCCTTCAAAATGTGTCTAAGGCCCTCACTTGAATAATGCTCACTTATCTTCTCAAATATGAATATCATGGACAAGTTAAGAGTAGAGAATATCCAAATAAGCCTTACCCGACGACTGCTCGGTTGGAAGCATAACCTCAACTACACCGAAAGATATAAACATCTTCCCCTAGAACCTCTATGGCGCCGTTCTCTCAAAAACAACCTAATGCACCTTTATAAACTGATAAATGGTCTTTCGTTCGTAAAATACCGTGTAGTGCCTCCACGTATTTTCGAGTTCGCTTACATTTAATTTGGTTAAGCCCTTTCGATTAATTTATTTAACCAAGGGATTTGTAAAACAATAACTTATATGTACCATTGGCTTTTATTATTGTGTGGTTTGTATGAGCTGGTATGAGTGAGCATTGCTTAACGCCTACGTGCATATGAATCCTATTCGCTTTAATATTGATCTCATAAATATAACGATGACTCAGACATTTTCCTTTGTATATATGCGAATATTTTAATCTCACTCGCACATTCGCACATTCACTCGCTAGTATGCCTGCCCGGTCTGCTTGTGGTCTGCTATCCCTATTTGTGGTGTGCCAAAATAAACGTATTCAATACTTCGAGTTTACCTTCTGATTTATTAACCGTCAGACGCTATTTAGTAACGATTGTCTGGGTGAGCTAATTACAAAAACTTAGGAACACCTCGAAGTCGGCACACTAACAACCGCCCAATTATGAACCACGACACTGCTTACAGACTTCGAAACAACGCATATACACTATTGAGGGAAAAACAAAAATTCATTGTGTTGTGATTTCTTTGTAATACGATACAATCTATTGTAGAACAGGTTACCAATTACTATTCGTATCCGTGACACAATTACTAAGTTGTTAGACACTAAAGAGATTGATAGACTATTCCCGGAACTCACACTAAGTCTCGAGGCACTCTTTTATGGTCCACCAAATATTTAGATAAACCTTATAAACTAATTAATAATAATAATAATAATAATTTATTCTCAAATAACTAAGTTACAAGAGTCACGCCAGTTTACAGGCTAGATCAAATTGTCACAAATGCTTTTACAATTACTGTAAAAGTTATAGCAGTTAAATTAAGTATAAGAGACAGTTTCTGATTGCATATTCACACCATGTCACTGACAGAAACAGTATTATACAGCCACATTTTCAATATTAGAGTACAAATGAGGAAGGTGCACAATAGGTTCTATTGGCGATTGGCCGAGATCAATAGTGAATTTGTTGGGAAAGGTCATATGGAACGCGCTTGATACGAGCTGTGATCCAGACAGTCATGTACATTGGGTGCATGTTCCCTAGAGTTGCCAAGGATTTCCCACCGTGAATGGGGTTCTGAAAAGGAGAAGAGAGAGAGGAAAAGGCAGCAGTGTGGCAAGTGTA